ATCTTCGCGTCCTTCCTCACAAGCCCCAGTATCGACAAGACCTCGTACGACACCTCATACCAATCGCCCCTCTACTCAGAAGTCCAAAAAATCCACATTGCTCAAATCTTCTTTGCCTCTTCCTTCCCTTCTTCCACCTCCACACTTTACCTTTCCAGTCTCTGTACCTAGTTCTTCCCCTCTCTCTGGCTCTATTACAAGTGTGGAGATTCACCCTCCTCCTCGTAAAAAATGCCTTCCACCCCCGTCCCCTCCCAAGTTTCTCCCTCTTCTGCCACCTCCCAGGTTTCTGCCTCTTCTGTCCCCCCCCACACTTCATCTCCAGTCCCTTACACTTTTCCCTCCCCCTCTACTTTGGTACAGTCCATTACTGTCCCAATCTTTACTCACCCTCCTCCTCCTATCTCCAATATGGTCTCCATACATTTTTGAATTCTGAAACACTTGAAGCCATTTCAGAATAAAATTGCAGAGACTAAACCTTCAATGGACACTGATTCACTTCCTGTTCCTTCTCTTCCCTCTCCTCCATCTTCACAACCCCATTTTCGCAACGCTCCGTTCCTTCGCTACTTGAACATCTTCCAATGCCACCACACGTTGACTTTTCTAACCCCTCTAGTCCGTAGGTGCCTTTACCTACAGATACCTGATATTTTCTTCATCGCCAATCATGGCCTATTTATAGTGGAATATCCGCGGCCTCAGGGGTAATCGGGGTGAGCTTCAGATGTTGCTTCCAGGTTTTCCCTTTGGTGCTTGCTTACAAGAACCAAAATTACACTCGGCTGTTTTCCAACCTATCTCAGGCTATAATTTATTGTATTCTTCGGATCCTTTCTCAGATGGGACCTTTAATGAAAGTGCCCTTCTTCTACGCAATGATATTCCGTACTGTCAACTATTTGTCCATACCTCGCTGCATTACACTGCAGCCCGTATCCACTTGAATAAGTGGTTTACAATATGTTCTTTATATCTCTCTCCTTCTCGACCATTTTCTATCCCAGACTTTGCCTTTCTTGTTTCATCCTTACCACCACCACTTCTGTTACTTGGTGATTTTAATGCCCACCATTTCCTCTGAGGGGGGGGTCTCATTGTGACTCACGTGGCATTCAGTTGGAGGCTTTTCTCGCCTCTCACCCCCTCCATGTTTTAAATACGGGTACTCCCACCCATTTTGATCCTCGTACTCATACTCTCTCTTGCATCGATCTATCAGTCTGCTCTTCCTCCACTGCACTAGACTTCACCTGGTCTGTTTTACCAGACTTACATGACAGCGATCATTTTCCGATCATTCTTACTTCTCCTTCCTATTCACCACCTTTCCGTAGCCCTCGCTGGCAATTTGATCGGGCAAATTGGGATCTTACTCACACCTCACTGCTTTTAGTGAGGTTCCTTCTTCATCCTCCATTGATGAGCTCCTACACATCTTCTCGACATCAGTTTATACCGCAGCTTCTCATTCTATACCCCAAACCTCAGGCAGGCATTCTCAGAAGTGTGTGCCTTGGTGGTCTCCTGCTTGTGCTCGTTTCAGTACGTTTGAAACATGCTGCATGGGCAGGTACCGGTACAATAGAACCGCTGAGAGACTTGTTGATTTTAAGCAGAAGCGTGCGATCGCTCGCCGTGTCATCCGTGAAGCTAAACGCACTTGTTGGCGAGACTATGTTTCCACCATCACCTCTGCTTCTTCTATGAGTGCAGTCTGGAAAAAGTGAGGAAATTGAGTGGTAAATACTCTCCTGACCCGGCTCCTGTTCTAACGGGTCACTGGTGTTGATGTAGCAACCCTCTCGACGTTGCCATTGAAATTGGCACACATCTGGTCCGTATTTCCCGAGGGCTCCCTCTATGCCCCTCATTTCTTTCCTCAAAGTCTGCCAGAGAGTTAGTACCCTTGGACTTTCTTCTCTCAGAGAAGAACAGTATAATGTGCCTTTTACACTTCAAGAACTGGAGGCAACGCTCTCAGCTTGCCGATCATCGGCAGCTGGCCCGACGACATTCATATTCGTATGTTACAACACTTACATCGGTCAGCCCTTGTAGTCCTCTTACACCTCTTCAATCTTATTTGGGCACAAGGAGTTCTTCCCCAGCTGTGGAAATCTGCCATTGTTCTCCCTTTCCGCAAACCGGGTACTACAGGACATGATGCCTCCCACTATCGCCCCATCGCTCTTACTAGTGCAGTTTGCAAAGTGATGGAACGCCTCGTAAATCGAACGTTTTAATGTGGTATTTAGAGACTCACAACAGTCTCTCCGCTAGTCAATAAAGGCTTTCGTAAGGGTCGTTCTACCATAGACCCCTTACTACGCTTGGATACGTATGTTCGTAATGCCTTTGCAAATAATCACTCAGTTATTGCCATATTTTTTGACCTTGAGAAGGCATATGACACAACTTGGAGGTATAATATTTTGGCCCAGGCCCATTCCTTAGGCCTCCGAGGCAATCTACCATCCTTCCTTAAGAACTTTTTAACTGACAGACATTTCTGTGTTCGAGTCAATAATGTTCTTTCCCCGGACTTCGTCCAAGCTGAAGGTGTCCCTCAGGGATGTGTTCTAAGCACAACACTTTTTCTCCTTGCTATAAATGATTTGGCCTCTGTTCTTCCACCCAATATTTGGTCATCAATCTATGTTGATGACTTCGCTATTGCTTGTGCAGGCGCTGACTGTCACCTTATTGCAGTTTCTCTCCAGCATGCGGTCGACCGTGTTTCCACTTGGGCCACCATGCATGGGTTTAAATTTTCAAGTACCAAAACTCACCAAGTTACTTTCACTAGACGCTCTGTTATCTCCGATCATCCTTTGTATCTCTATGGCTCCCGTATCCCCGAACGTGATATAGTCAGGTTTCTAGGCCTTCTCTTTGACTGTCGGTTATCCTGGAAACCTCACATTACCTCTCTGAAGGCATCTTGTCACAGCCGGCTAAACCTTCTTAAAACCCTTGCTCATCTTTCCTGGGGAGCTGATCGTCGAACTCTGCTTCGACTACATTCAGCCCTCGTTTTATCGAAACTCGATTATGGTGACCAGATTTATTCCGCAGCCTCTCCTGCTACTCTCTCTAGCCTTAACTCTATCCATCACCAAGGATTACGTTTGTGCCTTGGTGCTTTTCGCTCTTTCCCTGTTGAGAGCCTCTATATAGAAGCAAATGTTCCATCCTTGTCTGATCGCCGTGATGCCCATTGCCTTCGCTACTATGTACGCTCTCACGATCTACACAATCCTTCCATTTATAGAATGGTCACCGATAAATTTGTAGACATTCTTTATTCGTTCGCCGCCCCTGTTTGCTCCATCCCTTTTCTCTTCGCCTACATTCACTCTTGTCTTCCCTTCAGTTACCACCTTTATATGTTCATGTAGCATCTCACTTTTCCCTACCCCCCTGGGAAGTTCCAGCTGTTCGGGTCTGTTCTTTCTCACTCCCTTGCTCGAAAGCTCAATGCCTACGGTGGCTTCCCGCTCTCTTTTTCTTGATCACTTCCACTCCCATTCTCATGCCAACCGCTGTGTACACAGATGGCTCTAAGTCTTCAGACGGCGTCGGATTCGCAGCAGTGTTTCCGGACAGCGTCGTGCGGGGGCATTTACTATCTTCAGCTAGCATTTTTACTGCTGAACTGTATGCCATTCTTGCAGCACTTATTCGTATTGCATCGATGCCTGTGTCATCATTTGTATATCTCAGACTCCCTTAGTGCTCTACAGGCTATACGAAAATTTGATACATCTCATCCCCTAGTTCTCCGTATCCAACTTTGGCTACGCCGTATCTCTACCAAACATAAAGATATTGTTTTTTGTTGGGTCCCTGGTCATGTCGACGTACAGGGCAATGAACAGGCAGACACTGCTGCGCGGTCAGCAGTACATGACCTACCAATTTCCTATCGAGGTGTTCCATTTCTGGACTATTTTGCTGCAATAGCTACCCACCTTCGCACCCGTTGGCAACAACGTTGGTCAACTCTGCTCGGTAACAAACTTCATTCTATTAAACCGAGCATAGGTTACTGGCCGTCTTCTTGGCATCAGTGTCGAGGTTGGGAGACCACTCTCTCCCGCCTTCGCATTGGCCACACTCGTCTTACTCATGGGTATCTCATGGAGAGGCACCCTGTTCCTCTCTGTGAGCAGTGTCAAGTTCCAGTATCGATTAGCCACATTCTGTTAGACTGCCCTCTCTATCAACGAGCACGCAGAATTTACCTTCAACGTCGTCTTCGTTCTACTACTCTCTCTTTACCTTCCCTTCTTGCTGATGGACCCTCCTTTAATCCTGACTCTCTCATTGACTTCTTGACAACGACTGATTTACTCCACAAACTCTGATGATACTTTTCGCACTCCCCTCAGCCCTTTCTAGTTCAGTCTCTTGCTGCCTTTTACCCTTTCACCATCCACTGCCCCGCTGTTATCCGTAACCTATTACTCATCCATCTCCCTTTTGCCACCTGATGCCCTCGCTTCCTTCCTGCCCTGCAGCGCTGTATAGTCCTTGTGGCTTAGCGCTTCTTTTTTGATTATAATAATAATAATGGGAATAATAATATACCTTCTTTTATAAGAGACATGTTTGTGGACCAATTAAAAACACACAATTTTGTAGATATCTAATAAATCTTAATAAGAATATATGTGTCTGTAATAACTTATAAGTGTTATAAACACTGATTGGTGAATTGGTAGATCCCACATGGATGAAAATAAAACGTTGAGTGGGAAGGCTCTATATATTTTGGTTTCAGAGACCCTCTTCATGAGACAGTGAATAAGGTATCTGATTGAGGTTGGAATATACAGATCCTTTTCACATCTGTGTGGGATTTACCTATTTGTTATAGCTCATGTAAAATTTTTCATTAATATATGTTGTGTTAATGTATGGTGTTTATCTCATATATTAATATGTTTTTGTTGGTTCTGACATTCTGTTTTTTTCCTTCCTGGACCAAAAAGCTTACTTCCCAAGTCATCAGGTAATAGACTGTGGGTGTGTCTTCAGGATCTCCTCTATTTCTTAACTGATGCCAGGTACTTTGTCATCTTGACATTTTTATGTCCCAGCCCCGCATCACTGCCACCCATGGTTAATCTTTAATTTGCCTCTTCCTGTGTTCTTCCTCACGTTTAAGCAGCTATTGAATGTGCGTAATGTTTAAAGGTGTTGCTTAATTTTTTTCAGCAGCAGTTTTAAAATTTTTTTTGCATGCTTTTAGTTTTTCATTACTATAAATGCTTAACATATCACCCTCTAACCTTCAAGGGAGGTCCCTTGATACTGGTGAAGGGCTCTCAATCCAAGAAATTTAATCTGAATTCCCTTTCCTTGGATTGAACCCGATTGCCTCTCATTCTCCAAGGCAGTGTGTGACCTCTATGGGTTTAGTGCTCCCCTCATGAATGAAAAACAAATATGTTGATATATCAAATGTCTGCATGAGTTATATTTAACCCCATATTATGAAATACACAACCCTGTGTCTGCTTGAAGTGTATTCAGTAATGTGTACTGTGATTCTTTATATAAACCTTGTCATTTATTTGAGGATTTATTGCTAGGTACACCACTGATGCAAACAAAATGAATGTTATTAAATTACATCATTTTAAATACTAACATTATTTTAAATCGTATTGAATCGTGCATAGTACAAATATATGGAATAAGTCTATTGCATCTCTCGGTTGCTGTAATTAGAAGGTTTATTTAAGACTGAAACTACAATCCTAGATTCAAATATATTTTGTAATAAGCAGCAGTCTATAACTTGAATTGTGTAATTATTTTTTTGACTCGCTGGCTGTCTCCCACCTAAGCAGGGTGACCCAAAGAAAAAACACATTCACAACATGTTGATATATTAGACTATCAGCTTCTAGCATTAAGCTGGATGAAATTCTTAAAGAAATGTGAAAAAAGAAGATTTACAATATCAGCTTGTAAGAATTTAGAAGTTTTTTTTTCATTTCATATTCCAGCTGTAATTTGGGAAAAAGAAGTTCAGCATTAAATCTGTTGTTTCTAAAATTTTGAAATGTTGCATATACTGTAATAATGCATAAAAAAAATGTACAGTACTGTGGTATATTGTCACAAAATGCTTGACTGCAATTGTGTAAAAATGCCAGTGAGATAAAAGAACAATACTTGAGCTCTTTTTGCACATTTGTATACTTCTGTGTAAATGTACGACTCCACTCCAGTGCTATAGTGTGTTTTGATAGATTAATGTATGACACCACTCCAGTATTATAGTATATTTTGGTAGATTAATGTATAACACCACTCCAGTACTATAGTGTATCTTGGTTGATTAATGTATGACACCATTCCAGTATTATAGTATATTTTGGTAGAATAATGTAGGACACTGCTCCAGTACTATAGTGTATTTTGCTAGATTAATGTATGACACCACTCCAGTACTGTAGTGTATTTTGATAGATTAATGTATAACACCACTCCAGTACTATAGTGTATTTTGATAGATTAATGTATGATACCACTCCAGTACTATAGTGTATTTTGATAGATTAATATATGACACCACTCTAGTGCTATAGTGTATTTTGATAGATTAAGTAGAGTATAATTCTAAGATGATTCTATAATGATAGACTGCCTGAAATGTTTTGCATAATGAGGGTTTTTCTGTAAAGTAGTTATATATGTCATTCACCTAAATTGTATAATATACTGTACTCCACTTCATGGAAATAAAGTTTGTTTGTTTGATTAGTATCATAAACTGTATTGTGATACAAAACAAATTGTCAAGACAGCCTTTGAATGAGTGATGGTGAATGTATTTCTTCATTTTTTGGCCACCTTGTCTTGGTAGTAGATGGCTGGTGTGTAAATAAATTAATTAATAAAAGTAAATATTTTATTACCTCATGATACAATATATAGCTTTGACAACACTGAATAACATTAAAAAGAGGCTTCCTAATTGAATTAATATGTTGTGAGGTGTTGTTCAGTACAAAAGACAGATACAGTAGGGCCCCACTTATACGGCAGGTTAGGTTCCAGGCTACCGCCGTAAAGCGGAAATCGCCGTAAAGTGGAACACCCTTTTTTTCCCTTATAAATGCATACAAATATACTAACATATATTAAGTTAGCAATAGAACTAGGCATCAAAAAACAATAAAAAAGTACAATACACACATAGTGCACTCATTACTTATCATAAAATATTTATAGACTAAATCTAGGGTGAGACAAGAAGTATTGTAAGAAATCAAGTGTGGTATGTATGGTAGTCAGCAGGACTACCGTACTAGGCCACCCCACCTACACATAATATTCTATTACATTTAAGCATCCCAGAGCGATAAAATGCATATACAGTTTACTCATTACTTACCTTAAAATATTTATAGTCTTAATCTAGGGTGAAATGAGTAGTATTTATTGTAACAAATCAAGTGTGGTGTGCATGGTAGTCAGCAGGGCTACCATACCAGGCCACTCCACCCACACATAATATTCTATGATATTTAAGCATCCCTGAGCGATAAAATGCATATACAGTTCACTCATTACTTACCTTAAAATATTTGTAGTCTTAATCTAGGGTCAGGAGTAAGTAAACGAGATAAAACAAATAAATGAGAGAGAGAATGAGTACATGAGAGAGGACAGGCACAGAGTTATGTAAACAAACCAGGCGAACGTAAGTTTTGTAAACAAACAAAGTGTACACGTCTGGTTTGTGTACAAGTTGTCTCTACATTGATACGGTAGAATAAATAAAGAAGAACACTCCCATTCTCATGTAACATCATTTTTAGAAGAAATGATGCTCTGAGTGAAGGCAATGGAAACAAGTCACTCTGTCTCACTTTTTTGGGTTATCCTAGGTTCTCTGTATTTGTGTATACCTGAATAAACTTACATACATACGAAAGGAATAATTTTCTACAGTTACCCCCAGTAACATATTTTCTCTTATGTTAGATTAGAGAAAATGCTATTCTTGCCGTCACTTGTACAAGTTTTCTGGCTACCACATCTCATATTTATGTTTATTTATTCTATTGTGGGGTGTATTTATCATCTTTATATGTTATGTATCATGTTTATTATATAATTTTGAAAAAAAGGTATGGATGGATTAATGAAAATGTGTATATTAACGTAATATATGACATTTAATGAGACTCGGTGATTATTATTATTATTATTATTATTATTATTTCTAATATGGCGTCACTTGTGCAAGTCGTCTGCTACCACATCTTATATTTATGTTTATTTATTCTACTGTGGGGTGTATTTATCATATTTATATGTTATGCATCGTGTTTATTATATAATTTTGAAAAAATATCATAGATGGATTAATGAATATGTGTATATTAACGTAATATATGACATTTAAATGAGACTCAGTGATTATTATTATCATTACTAATATGGCATCTCGAGACATAAGACACTCTTACTGATTTTAATGTGTACCTGCATGCCAGCACAGTATGTAAGTTTATTTAGGTACAGGTATACATCAGTATAATTATCAGAGTATATATAAAATATGAAATAACTTTTAAAAACACTTGAAATTTTGGAGTTTCCGGACAAAATCGAGAGACTTATTGCTTACGGATCTCACGGAGAATGTAAGCAAACCGGGTGGGGTGCGGTGACCGTATTAGAAAGTCAGGTGGGGGAGCCGTATAGCGAGTTTTGGTCATAATTTGAAATGACTGTATTAGTGGAACGCTGTAAAGTGGGGCCATACTGTATGTATGGTGACCTTAAAATGCTTATTCTAAACTTTGATTTTTTTTAGTTGTGTAATAACAAAAATAATGTAGTGATATTATTAATGAATAACAAGACCTATTGTTTTAAAATAACCCCCGCCTTTTTTATGTGGTTAATATGTTTAGTATTCACTTTTAACATGGGTAATATGCACTTTTTTTATTTTTGTAATTCTTTTAGTTTCATATTACTAGAAACTTTGAATATTTCTGACCAATTACAGCTATGAGAGAGAATACAGTGTACTACACAGCGGAACCAGCAACAGTGGTGCTGAAGTTGGTCAGCAGTTAAACGACTTCAACCTTCCAACAAGCTTGGCAGTACCTGCCCAGGATGGCAGCATTAAGGGTAATATGAATAAACTTTTGAGTATCAGGAAATATTGATTTTTTCCATGAATGTACAATGTGTATTTCAGGCTATCCACAATAGTGTCTGTAACAAGTTAATGTAATATTTCATATAATTCATTATAATATAATATTTACAATATTTGTAATTACTTTTTGTAGTTACAGGATTAGAGTTCTCTATAATTAATGTCATTATAGGCAGCAGAGATGTCATGTTTGAGAGGAAAGTGTAGTGTGAATATCATGCTGGAAATTTAGAGCGTGAGAATTAAAAGATGATGTGGGGTCACCTAGGATATAATTCAGAGGGCTGAGGATGGGTTGTTGAGGTGGTTTAGGAATGTAGAGAGGATAGAGAGGGATAGGATGACAAAAGTGGTATATACCTCTGGGATGGAAGGTAGGAGGAATGGTGGCTCATTCCAGAAATGATTGGAGGGAGGAGGTAAAAGAGACTTTAAGTTTTAGGGACTTGAACATCCAGCAGGCCTGTGTGAGCAAGTCAGATAAGCGTGAGTAGAAGCAAGTGTTTTTTTTTTTCTGTGATGGACATGTTGCCAGAGTGTGAGCATGGTAACATTTACAAAGGGATTTGGTGAAACCTTTTAACTGAACTTGAGTCCTATAGTTGGAAAGTACAGTTCATGCCCTCTGAAGGAAGGGTGAGAAGGTTACAGTTTGTAGGGCTGTCTACATTGTGTTGTAGACATGCTTCTTGCAAGATGGATTGAATGAGTGATGGTGAATGTTTTTTATTTTTTATTTTTTACCACCTTCCTTTGGTGGGAGATAGCTGGTGTGTTAAAAAGAAAAGTATTGAAGTACACCAGCATTTTGGTATTGAAGAGTTTGTCTGTAGGTGCCCCATTGACTGCAGCTGCCTTGGTAATGTTCCTGCCCTGATTATGGGGATTCACTTGACTGTATTTACTTGTGTTACATTATCTATAACAAAAATTATAACTCAAAAAATTAATAGAAGCTGTTAGACAGTGTTTTATTTTTATTTACTGTAGTACTGTATTTTTTTTTTTTTGCTTTGCAGAGATGGACAGTGTACGCGTATTTTCATGCAAAAAAATAATTTATCTCTGGGATTCAGAAACAGAGACCTTCTACAAACTCCCAGGATTGGATGCTGGGGTAGGTGAACTCCATTTACTATATACATATCTCAGCCTTAATTTTTTTCAACACAGACTGGCCTTCTTCCACTGAGGTAGGTTAACTTGAAAAAGAAGAAACACTTTCACCATCACTCACTCATCAGTGTCTTGCCAGAGGTGCATTGATACTACAATTCAGATGCACCCCTCTCCTTCAGAGTGTAGTCACTGGGCTTCCCACCTCTAGGACTAGAGTCTGGCTAACTGGTTTCCCTGACACCTCAGTATCCCCATAAAAACTCTTAACCCTTTCACTGTCCAGACCCCTGATCAGAAACTTGTCTATACTATCCCAGAATTTAAAAAAAAAAAAATGTTATTGTTTGTTATGAAATGGTAGAGAATCTTTTTCTGAAGGTAAAAAAAAAAAACAAAAAGTATGAAACATGATGGAAAATTGACAAAATTACGCTTTCGCGAATTTTGCTGTGTCAGAAATATTTACGCATTGGCAATTTTGCCCACTTTGAGTCCGATTTCAGGTCAATTACATTATTCCAGTATACCAAATTCTTAGCTATTTTGCTAGTATATCTTCCATATTATTGATTGAGTACAAGAAATCACCCAATCAACTATTTCAACTACCCAATAAAGTGATCAGAAATTGGTAATTTTGCCAGTTTCACACAAATTTCAAAATATTCCAGTTTCAAAATAGGGTCCAGTATAAACAGTGCAGGCATTCCTGGCACTAAAATAACATTTCCTCTGTTCATTAGTTATGAATTCTATTTTTATTTTTTATTCACACACGCACAAAAAAAATAGTAGATTTACTGTTATGCAATATTGTAATACTGCCTCTCCTCACTTAAAGACAGAGTTCCATTCCTAAGATCACATCAGTAAACAAATTTGTTGCTAAGCAAGGAGCATACTATAATGGTAGTGGGTTTGTCAGCCATCTTTGATATTGTTTTAGTGTCACCTTTGCACCATTTATAACATTTTTAGTATATTTTTAAATGTTTATACAGTAGTGTACTGTATATTGTAATAAATTGGTTTTCATCTTTAATTCATTCCAGAGAGTCTGACGAAAACTGAATTTGACTAAACCTGAAGCAATATTTCCCATAAGAAATAATGTAAATCCAATTAATCCATGCTACACACCCAAAAATATTAACAAAAAATACATTTTATAGAGAATAACTATAGTTTTACATATAGAAAATGATGGGAAATAAATATAAAGCACTAATTTTAATGGATAAATGAACATTTAAGCCACTTTTATCTTTGTTGAAGACTCTTGATGGCGTAAGGAAGACAGTGAGGAGGGGAAAGGATGAGAGTTTATCCACACATACCACCCTCTACCACCATCACTACCACCTCTACCACCCATCATACCACCATCACTACCACCCTCTACCACCATCACTACCACCTCTACCACCATCAACTACCACCCTCTACCACCATCACTACCACCCTCTACCACCATCACTACCACCCATCTCAACCACACATCACTACCACCCTCTACACCACATCACTACCACCCTCTACCACCATCACTACCACCCTCTACCACCATCACTACCACCCTCTACCACCATCACTACCCAACCATCACTACCACCCTCTACCACCATCACTACCACCCTTACCACCATCACTACCACCCTCTACCACCAACTCACAATACCACCCTCTACCACCATCACACCACCCTCTACCACCATCACTACCACCCTCACCACCATCACTACCACCTTTACCACCATCTACCACTCTACCACCTCACTCACCCTCTACCACCATCACTACCACCCTCTCCCCCACCATCACTACCACCCTCTACCACCATCACTACCACCCTCTACCACCATCACTACCACCCTCTACCACCATCACTACCACCTCTACCCATCCTACCCCTCACCCATCACTACCCCTCTACCACCTACCACCTCACCCATACACCACCCTCTACCACCATCACTACCACCCTCTACCACCATCACTACCACCCTCTACCACCATCACTACCACCCTCTACCACCATCACTACCACCCTCTACCACCACCATTACCACCCTCTTCCACCATCACTACCACCCTCTACCACAATCACTACTACCCTCTACCACAATCACTACCACCCTCTTCCATCATCACTACCACCCTCTACCACCATCATTACCACCCTCTTCCACCATCACTACCACCCTCTACCACCATCATTACCACCCTCTTCCACCATCACTACCACCCTCTACCACAATCACTACCACCCTCTACCACAATCACTACCACCCTCTACCACCATCACTACCACCCTCTACCACCATCACTACCACCCTCTACCACCATCACTACCACCCTCTACCACCATCACTACCACCCTCTACCACCACCATTACCACCCTCTTCCACCATCACTACCACCCTCTACCACAATCACTACCACCCTCTACCACCATCACTACCACCCTCTACCACCATCACTACCACCCTCTACCACCATCACTACTACCCTCTACCACCATCACTACCACCCTCTACCACCATCACTACCACCCTCTACCACAATCACTACCACCCTCTACCACCATCACTACCACCCTCTACCACCATCACTACCACCATCACTACCACCCTCTACCACCATCACTACCACCCTCTACTACCATCATTACCACCCTCTACTACCATCATTACCACCCTCTTCCACCATCACTACCACCCTCTACCACAATCACTACCACTCTACCACAACCACTAACACCCTCTACCACAATCACTACCACCCTCTACCACCATCACTACCACCCTCTACCACCATCACTACCACCCTCTACCACCATCACTACCACCCTCTACCAACATCATTACCACCCTCTACCACCATCACTGCTGCCCTCTCCCACCATCACTACCACCCTCTACCACAATCACTACTACCATCACAACCACTGCCACCCTCTACCACCATCATTACCACCCTCTACCACCATCACTACCACCCTCTACCACCATCACTTCCACCCTCTACTACCACCACTACCACCCTCTACCACCATCACAACCACTACTACCCTCTTACCACCATCACTACCACCCTCTACCACCATCATTACCACCCTCTACCACCATTACTACCACCCTCTACCACAGTCACTACCACCATCACTACCACCCTCTACCACAATCACTACCACCATCACAACCACTACCACCCTCTACCACCATCACTACCACCCTTTACCACCATCACTACCACCATCATTACCACCCTCTACCACCATCACTACCACCAATGAATTCTCTCGTGTTTCTCACCTTTATCAAAGGGGTGGCACTCGTAACTTTCTTTGGCTCCATGGTGGCTTATTTAGCAGTCGCACTCAATAAACAAGCACAAAAAACAATGGATTATTACGAAATGTTTCGTATGAATGCTCAGGGTAATGTTCACTAGATGAGAAACGAAGCCAGACTGACTCAGAATGCGTGCGTGGGATGCTTTGTGTTGGTGCGGGCAGACGGACTTGTACGGTATGGCGGACGAAAACTGAGGTGTTGAACGAAAACTGGGACAATATTTTGACAAGAAAGTCATCGAAAACCAAATTCGATGAAAACCAGGGCAAACGAAAACTGAGGTTCCACTCTATTTAGGTATGCATACTGGTCAAAGAGCCCATTGTAAGTCTGAGCAGTCAGCAAACAAGTACGTCACTTAAGTGAAGAGAGGCTGTGATTGTATAAATAATATCTGCACATTTGTGAAGACATATTAGACGCGTCAGTTGGAAATGAATTGGACGAATGACGTGATTTGTTTACTGTTTAGTATCGACAAAAATCAAACATTTCCTCTACTTTGAGCTCAATTTCAAGTTATTTTCCTTCTTGAAACCAATCAGAATCATCTCTGTTTCTATAATATATCATCCATTCTGTCAAATGAGACCAAGAAACCGAGAATACTATCATAAAAAACATAGGAAAATACACTGCAAAGTCACTGTTTTAAACCAAAAACATGGATTGCAATTTTTTTTCTCATTATGCACTGCGTGCTGCAGGATTTTTTATATAATAATAATAATAGTAATTTTTATTTTGATATGATACATGGTTGTATAAAGAAATATAATAGTTGGGTGTACATGTTAAAAGCCCCTTTGTATGCAGAGCATTAACATTAACTTAAGATTAATAAGGTAATAACAGTTCACATGGTCATTAGATGAGTTACAATGAGTACAAGACAATCAAGTATTCTATTAGGTAATGCTATATGGCTTTAATAAATCTAGTAGAGAAGTTCAGTATAGAATAATTATAGTTTTGATATACATGTAGTTTATAAAAAATACAGTATTACAATGTAGAATAAGTTAAAATAATTTACAGTATAAAGTAATACAGTTTAGTAGATTTTCAAACAATGAGATTGAAACACTTATAAGATTGTAGTAATGAGTAAATGGTTGAGCAATCATCAGCAATATGCAATAATGAAATTGAAAAATTTTTAAGTTCGAAGTAAATTATCAAATAGTTGAACAGTCTGGTTAATTTTGGGTGATGAGGTGATTTCTAAGTAGGGCCTTAAATTGATTTGCCTGCAGGGGTCCTTTAGTGTGTTCTGGCAATGAATTCCAGATCATCGGGGCCTGTACATACATAGCATTTTTGCATAGGGAGAGATGGACACATGAGATATTAAAGAGTGATTTGTGTCTTGTATTATGGCTGTGTGTTTTGTTATAGATATCAAGGAGGAGTTTGAGAGGAGGTTTTATATTTGAGTATAGTGTTCTGTGTATGTAGTTGGCACAATAATAAGTGTGGATGTTTTGTATATTAAACAAGTTAAGACTCTTGAAAAGTGGTGAAATATGCTGTCTAGTGCAGGAGTTAGTAATCAATCGCACTGCAGCTTTTTGTTGGGTTATTAAAGGTTTAAGGTGATTTACTGTGGTTGAGCCCCATGCACAAATACCATAGGTGAGGTAAGGGTAAATGAGAGAGTGGTAAAGAGCAAGAAGAGCCATTTGAGGTACATAGTACTGTATTTTTGATAGGATACCTACTGTTTTGGAGGCTTTCCTGGATATTTGCTGTATATGAGTTTGGAATTTGAGATTGCAGTCAAGATGGAGACCTAGAAATTTGTCCTCTGTGTGTCTTGAAATGGGTGAACCATTTATCCATATATATGTTTAGCTGTACATTTGAAGCTGTTTCCAAATAGCATGAAGTAGGTTTTGTCTGTATTGAGAGTAAGTTTGTTGGTAGTCATCCTAGAAGATATTTTTAGAAGTTTGTCATTTTCAGTGTCTGTTAGTATGGTTGGGTTTGGGTGAGAGAAGACATAAATAGTGTTATCTGCAAATAAAATGGGTTTAAGGAGCTTTGATGCATTTGGGAGGTCATTGATGTCAAAGAGAAGAAGGCCAAGGACACTACCCTGTGCTACACCAACAAGAACAGGTTGTGTAGTGGAGTTAGCCCCATTTGTGTATACATACTGGTTTCTATTTCTAAGATTTTAGGTAATCAAGAGAGTCCTCTGACCCCGTAATGTTTGAGTTTTAGTGCAATAGGTCATGGTCAGCTGTGTTAAGTGCTTTTCGTAGGTCTGCGAAAAGTCCCAGGGGAATTTCATTTTTTCAAGTGCCGAATATATTAGTGCAAGCATATGTATAATTGTGTCATTAGTACTTTTTTCCAGGCTAAATTCAAACTGACAGGGGTTAAGTAGGAGTAAACTTGTTTGTGAAGTAATTTTTCAAAGATTTAAGATAGTAGGGGCAAATTTGATATAGGCCTGTAGTTGTTCAATTCCGTTGGATCACCTCCTTTGAGGATTGGAATGACCCTTGCTGTCTTGAGTATGAATAGGAAGGTAGAAGATTCAATGGATTTGTTAAAGAGAGTTGCAATAATTGGTAACAACACATGAGAAGCTTTTGTATACATGAGTGGTGGTAAGTTATTTAGGTCTGTCTTGTTCTTTAGTGTTTTGATGATGAGCAAGATTTCAGTAGGGTTTGTTGGGGCTAGAAATAGAGTATTTTGGTAGTTACCAGTAAGGTAGTCTTTCAGTTGAATGTTTGTGTTTAGGATTTTGCTTGCTAGGTTTGTTCCTATGGTCGAGAAAAAGACATTAAGCTTGTTGGCAGTATCTGTTGGCTGGAGGAGAGGTTCTTCTGGTTTCATCAAGTTAATCTCTCTGTTGCGAGATAGCTTTTTAGATCCTAGAATTTCAGATAAGGTTTTCCAGATCTTTTTCATATCACCTCTTTATGTCATGAAATCTGGTTTTGTAATACAGTTTTTTTTGACCTCCTTATTAGATTAGTTAGTATGGATGAGTAATGTTTTGCCAGATCCTTTGTTATTAGACCCCTTCTGTACTGTTTTTCATATAAATTTTTTTTATCAGTAGGTTTGAGGATGCTGTTTGTAAGCCAGGGGCTGTTTAGTCTCTTTGCTGTGATCTGCTTAGTTTTTACCGGGCAGTGCATGTTATAGAGATTTTTTTTTTTTTTTTTTTCATCAATATCAAGGTTGACTTCTAGCTCATTTTGCCAGTTGATGTTACTTAATGCTGAAATAAAGTTATTAATGGATGACTCATTATGTAGTTGGAAGATGATCTTAGTTGTCCTGAGGCAATTTGCATAAGTTGGTTATGAGAAAGGCGGGTAGTGGTCAGTGGTGTTATCTGTGATTATGTCTGATTTTAATAGGGATAGTGTGTTAGTCCAAATATGGTCAAGTACAGAGGCATTTGTCTTGGAGATTCTTGTAGGTTTTGTTAAAGTTGGCAGAAGTAAGCAACTGCTCATAGTGTTTGTGAATTCAGTTACTTGTGGGTCATGGTCATGGATGAGGGTTATTTTGAAGTTCCCTGTAAGTATCAGGTGGTGTTTATTTATCTCTACATCGGTTATCATGTTTCTTAGTTTTTCACTAAATGAGTAAATATTGGAGTGAGGTACTTTCTTTTGATTTAAATTTAGCAATGTATATTCACCATATTCATCCCTTGTGCAAGTAGATTTTATACATTTAAGTTCATCAGAGTAGTATATAGCTGTGCCACATCCTAATTGGTCTGGCCTACTATTGTGTATGGCCGTGTATCCAGGTATGGCATAGATGTTTGAAACATCATGTTTCAGCCATGTTTCACTGAGAGTAATGATAGACATACTGGCATTTAGAGAATTAAGTTGTGCTTGGAGGTCATCATAGTGTTTGTTTAATGATCTGACATTATTATTGAACGCTGTTATGTTGTTGTTGGCACTGAGTAGTGTCTTAGCCTGACTAAATAACTTACCACCTTTTCCATGTATATGCAGATGTTGCAAGTGTATAGAATAGGTGGTAGGTTACTTAAAGCAGTGAAGAGTTTTTATGATTATAGTGAGGATCAGGTTAGGGTATGTAGGAGAGAGGGAGATTATTTTCCAGAACAAAGTAGGCTTCATATCTGATATAGTCAAAGATGTAACTCATAGCACAGTGTTTTCCTTTGCAGATGATACTAGAATTTGCATGAGTGTGTCACCCATTAAGGACACTGTAAATCTCCAAGTAGATATAAACCAAGTTTTCCAGTGGGCCACAGAAAACAATATGAAGTTCAATAATTATAATGTGCATATGTGTGTGCATGTATGTATGCATGTACATGCATGTGTGTGTATGTGTGTAAATAATTAAATAACTTTTTCAACACTGGCTGTATCCCACCGAGACAGGTTGACCTAAAAACTAAACTGAAATAAATAAATACTCCATGAGGAAGTGGAGAAGAATCCTTCCTCCATATTACAAAAAAGTAATTTTTTAAAGAAGATGGTACGATTTACTCCTTTTGTAATAAAGAGTTCGGGATACATAAATACACACATTAATATAAATTAATCTTTAATATATAAAAATCAACTATCTTTGGTCTAGAGGTATTTGAACTATGATATAATAATAATATGTACATGTTACTATAATAAATTATAATCAGCATTTTACTAAAATATAATTAATAACCCTACACAGGGTACAACTCTTGACACTACTGTCACTATATATATATATCTCTATGCTAAAACAATAAATTATAAATAACATTTTTATAATAATAAATTACAATCAACTGCCTCTCACGACACGAAGTCAGTCACACGACACTGTTCAGTGTACACTACAACCAGGCCATCTTCAGTGTCCCCACGACACCCTTTTCATCTCAGTGTTCCACTACGGTCCCCGTGCATATCTCAGTGTTCCACTCCATCTACGTTCCTAAGTGTCACACTACGGTCCTGGCCCAGTTCAGTGTAACACTCCAACCTTTTCTTCATGTAATGTCCCACTAAACAGCATCTGACGACTCCGGCCCACAGTTGATCAACGTAGACGGTGAGTCCACAGACATCACCGGTAGTCCAGTAAATCCTCCAAAGGCGGTTGACACACCGCTAGCCCGAACACCATGCTGCAAGCTCACTGAATGCGGCCGTCAAGTAACTGAGGCCAACAGACTCAGTGAGCTGCGGTGAGCGGTTCTTCTAACGCCAGTAGATAGGTACGATTCGGTGGTCAGGTACCTACTGCATAGACGTGTACCCTGAGGAGTTCAGGTACTTAATGTTGAAGCCAGTAGACGTGTACCCTTCGGTGGTCAGGTACCTACTGCTTAGGTGTGTACAGCGAGGCGCTCAGGTACATAATATTTCTAAAGCCAGTAGACGTGTACCCTTCGGTGGTCAGGTACCTACTGCTTAGGTGTGTACAGCGAGGCGCTCTGGTACATACTGTTACTAAAGCCAGTAGACGTGTACCCTTCGGTGGTCAGGTACCTACTGCTTAGGTGTGACAGCGAGGCGCTCTGGTACATACTGTTACTAAAGCCAGTAGACGTGTTTCCCTTCGGTGGTCAGGTACCTACTGCTTAGGTGTGTACAGCGAGGCGCTCTGGTACATACTGTTACTAAAGCCAGTAGACGTGTACCCTTCGGTGGTCAGGTACCTACTGCTTAGGTGTGTACCGTGAGGCACTCAGGCTCTTACTGCTCTAAGGCCGGCTCAGCAGCCCCCACATTGGGTTTGATGACGCACCCAGTGGTACTGCCGGCCGGCAGGTTTTAAATATTTAACCGCTAGTTTGGCAGGGGCCGCAACACCCCCACCACAAAAGGACCGACACACAAAGATCAATGTAATATGTATCCCGAACCGTCATCCCGGATATGATCGTCCAGAAATCATTCTAGATAATCATTATCCTCCCGGACAGGCCCCCATATATTACAAAAAAGTAATTTTTTAAAGAAGATGGTACGATTTACTCCTTTTGTAATAAAGAGTTTGGGATACATAAATACACACATTAATATAAATTAATCTTTAATATATAAAAATCAACTATCTTTGGTCTAGAGGTATTTGAACTATGATATAATAATAATATGTACATGTTACTATAATAAATTATAATCAGCATTTTACTAAAATATAATTAATAACCCTACACAGGGTACAACTCTTGACACTACTGTCACTATATATATATATCTCTATGCTAAAACAATAAATTATAAATAACATTTTTATAATAATTTAAATTACAATCAACTGCCTCTCACGACACGAAGTCAGTCACACGACACTGTTCAGTGTACACTACAACCAGGCCATCTTCAGTGTCCCACGACACCCTTTTCGTTCAGTGTTTTCCCCTACGGTCCTGTGCATATCTCAGTGTTCCACTCCATCATACGTTCCTAAGTGTCACACTACGGTCCTGGCCCAGTTCAGTGTAACACTCCAACCTTTTCTTCATGTAATGTCCCACTAAACAGCATCTGACGACTCCGGCCCACAGTTGATCAACGTAGACGGTGAGTCCACAGACATCACCGGTAGTCCAGTAAATCCTCTCCAAAGGCGGTTGACACACCGCTAGCCGAACACCATGCTGCAAGCTCACTGAATGCGGGCCGTCAAGTAACTGAGGCCAACAGACTCAGTGAGCTGCGGTGAGCGGTTCCTTCTAACGCCAGTAGATAGGTACGATTCGGTGGTCAGTACCTACTGCATAGACGTGTACCCTGAGGAGTTCAGGTACTTAATGTTGAAGCCAGTAGACGTGTACCCTTCGGTGGTCAGGTACCTACTGCTTAGGTGTGTACAGCGAGGCGCTCAGGTACATAATATTTCTAAAGCCAGTTTGGGCGTGTACCCTTCGGTGGTCAGGTACCTACTGCTTAGGTGTGTACAGCGAGGCGCTCTGGTACATACTGTTACTAAAGCCAGTAGACATGTACCCTTCGGTGGTCAGGTACCTACTGCTTAGGTGTGTACAGCGGGGGCGCTCTGGGTACATACTGTTACTAAAGCAGTAGACGTGTACCCTTCGGTGGTCAGGTACCTACTGCTTAGGTGTGTACAGCGAGGCGCTCTGGTACATACTGTTACTAAAGCCAGTAGACGTGTACCCTTCGGTGGTCAGGTACCTACTGCTTAGGTGTGTACCGTGAGGCACTCAGGCTCTTACTGCTCTAAGGCCGGCTCAGCAGCCCCCACATTGGGTTTGATGACGCACCCAGTGGTACTGCCGGCCGGCAGGTTAACTATTTAACCGCTAGTTTGGCAGGGGCCGCAACACTCCATAAGCCATGAGTGTTGTAAGAAGCGACTATAAGAAGAAAACTTTACATTTCTTCTTTTTTTGGGTCACCCTGCCTCAGTGGGAGATGGCCAACATGTTGAAAATATATATATACAGCGGAACCTTAAATATCGAACTTTCTTCGTTCCAGACGGCTGTTCGAGTGCCATTACTGAACGAATTTATTCCCATTGGGAATAATGTAAATTAGATTAGTTCATTTCAGACCCTCAAATGTACACTTATAAAAGCACTTACAAAAATACACTTACATAATTGGTTGAGTTGGGAGCAGTTCGAAATTTAAGGTTCCACTGTATATATATATATATATATATATATATTTTTTCAACAAGTTGGCCGTCTCCCACCGAGGCAGGGTGACCCAAAAAGAAAGAAAATCCCCAAAAAGGAAATACTTTCATCATCATTCAACACTTTCACCTCACTCACACATAATCACTGTTTTTGCAGAGGTGCCCAGAATACAACAGTTTAGAAGTATATACATATAAAAATACACAATATATCCCTCCAAACTGCCAATATCCCAAACCCCTCCTTTAGAGTGCAGGCATTGTACTTCCCATTTCCAGGACTCGAGTCCGGTTATATAAAATAACTGGTTTCCCTGAATCCTTTCACTAAATATTACCCTGCTCACACTCCAACAGCTTGTCAGGTCCCAAATACCATTTGTTTCCATTCACTCTTATCTAACACACTCACGCACGCTTGCTGGAAGTCCAAACCCCTCGCCCACAACACCTACTTTACCCCCTCCCTCCAACCTTTTTGAGGACGACCCCTACCCCGCCTTCCTTCCTGTACAGATTTATACGCTCTCCATGTCATTCTACTTTAATCCATTCTCTCTAAATGACCAAACCACCTCAACAAACCCTCTTCAGCCCTCTGACTAATACTTTTATTAACTCCACACCTTCTCCTAATTTCCACACTCCGAATTTTCTGCATAATATTTACACCACACATTGCCCTTAGACAGGACATCTCCACTGCCTCCAACCGTCTCCTCGCTGCTGCATTTACCACCCAAGCTTCACATCCATATAAGAGTGTTGGTACTACTATACTTTCATACATTCCCTTCTTTGCCTCCATAGATAACGTTTTTTGACTCCACATATACCTCAATATTTATTTTTCAACAAGTCGGTCGTCTCCCGCCGAGGCAGGGTGACCCAAAAAAGAAAGAAAATCCCCAAAAAGAAAATACTTTCATCATCATTCAACACTTTCACCACACTCACACATTATCACTGCTTTTGCAGAGGTGCTCGGAATACAACAGTTTAGAAGCATATACGTATAAAGATACACAACATATCCCTCCAAACTGCCAATATACTTTTATATATATTATATATACGTATATATATATAATATTATATATATATATATATATATTATATATATATATATATATTATATATAATATAATATTATTTGTTCATTTATTTTTTATCTATTTATTTATTTATTTACTTATTTTGCATGGTTCAGCAAACAGCAGAGTCACTCCATCGTTATCGAGGACTACACTGGATAGAACAAGCACGGAGGAGACTCATCTTCGGGGAGAATACCATTAAGGTTCCTGTTACACCAATAAACCAGCTGCTCTTTCTTGAAGCTCTTAATCCATTCTATATATTTCAGGTAAAGGGAATTTTTATAATTTTATCTGTAGAGTCCTTACAGTATGAACAAAAAGTTAAATGATATATTTAAAAAAAAAAAAACAGGAAGTGTGGAGGGTGTAGGTAGTAAGTGAGTGAGGTAATGTGTAGGGGGGTGGTAGTGAGTAAGGGAAGGTGTGTAGGGGTAGTGAGTGAGGGAAGGTGTGTGGGGGTAGTGAGTGAGGGAAGGTGTGTGGGGTAGTGAGTGAGGAAGGTGTGTGGGGGTAGTGAGTGAGGGAAGGTGTGTGGGGGTAGTGAGTGTGGGAAGGTGTGTGGGGTAGTGAGTGAGTGTGTATATGTGTGTGTGTGTGTGTGTGTGTGTGTGTGTGTGTGTGTGTGTGTGTATGTGTGGGTGGGGGTTGAGTGTGTGTGTGTGTGTATGTATGTGGGTCGGGGTAGTGAGTGTGTGTGTGTGTGTACTCACGTAGTTGTACTCACCTAGTTGAGGTTGCAGGGGTCGAGTCCAAGCTCCTGGCCCTGCCTCTTCACTGGTCGCTACTAGGTCACTCTCCCCGAACTGTGAGCTTTATCATACCTCTGCTTAAAGCTATGTATGGATCCTGCCTCCACTACATCACTTCCCAAACTATTCCACTTCCTGACTACTCTGTGGCTGAAGAAATACTTCCTAACATCCCTGTGATTCATCTGTGTCTTCAACTTCCAACTGTGTCCCCTTGTTGCTGTGTCCCATCTCTGGAACATCCTGTCTTTGTCCACCTTGTCAATTCCTCTCAGTATTTTGTATGTCATTATCATGTCTCCCGTACCTCTCCTGTCCTCCAGTGTCGTCAGGTTGATTTCCCTTAACCTCTCCTCGTAGGACATACCTCT